TTTTTTCATTCTTCTCCACCTATGCCGACTTCATCTTTACACTCCCTGTCCACCTCTTTTTGCAGGAGCAAAAGAGTTAAGTGGGGGAATGTGTTGTATCATCCTATTCACGTCACCCGGAAACCTCCCGGTGACTCCCTTATCAAGACGAGCGCTCGGCGAGCGCCCGACTCTTTGTCTCTCTGAGACATTCACCTTTTAGGGCGTACTTTTGACTCCTTTCCTTCGTCCCGACATCGCTTAGGACGTTCGTGATTCCTTTAGATTCCCCTTGACTTGATTCGTATCTCTTCCAAGAGATTTCGAAATCAAATACACCTTAATCTTTTGTCTTTAGCTTAATACTCTAAATATTCGACGGTACCGTAGCTACAGAGATATCGAGTACATAAAGTGTCGTAGAGTACAGTTGTAATTCAGAATTCTCCGCCCGTAATCTCGTCTGACCGGACTCAGGCCCGTGAGATATACGGACGACATTTCACCGAATAGGCCATCGAGCTGCCTGTCAATAAGTATCGGGTCGTATCGCGTAAACACGAATTAATGATTGATGATATATCGATGATAGGTACTCACATTACAGACATAGTAATTATCTACAATCGAAGCAGACTACGGAACGAGAATTATGTCCACCTGTCCGAATCCCATATCTCGGCCTCCTCCCAACCGACAACTTCATACGGCATCCCTAGAACACGCTAGTGTGACACAAAAGAAAGGAAAGAAGAATCTTTTGACTCACCTGGAAGCCTATACTTGAAGAACTCGTAACGACCATCCCGATCAATGTATATCCTAATCGCTCTTCCTTCGATCTGCATATCCCTCACCCAAATGATGATATCATCGGGTACCGATACGCGATATGTCGATAGGTACACCGATTGGAGCCTCGGAGACTCTTGACGTTCCCAAAGGGCTGTAACCATCCCTCTGAACGTGTCCCAATCGAACCTTTTATTAGCAGTATGAATCCTCAGGTCTTTCAAGCCCGATATATGGGTAGCGAGGTCATCCATGAATCGAGTCGTGCCTGAATAAGAAAGATCAAGAATAGAGATAGTGGGGATGCCGTCGATGAGCATGAACAGTTCGTCCTCTTTGAACGACGTCCCGCCCAAACGAAAATATCGCAGGTGCGGAGATCTAGCAAGAAACGATGCAAGTGCGTGCACGAATGTTGATTGTTTGGATAACTCGTACACGTCCTGGAAGGAGAATGTGTCGAGCGTGGGACAGGTGAGTTGGTGAAGGAAGTTGGCGAAGCTGGAATGATAGGAAAAGGTGAACGGGGATCTTGGGGTGTCTTTTGCGGTGATGTTTAGGGTATTGAGGTCTGGAAGAGTTGGTACGGGGATGTTATCGGGGAGTGAAAAGTTGCAAATGGAGACATCCGCGTGTTGTAGCGAAGAGTTGCCTGCGAGGACTCCGACAAGGAGAGTCAGGTCGATGTCATCGATTATGATGGAGGTAAGATGGGAGCATGGAATACAATGCTCAGAAGTAAGCGTCACTCCACGGAGTTCAATGGACTGTATCCGGGCATCGGAAAATGTCGACAGGCCGTTCGTGGCAGTCAATGTGTTCTTGTTAAGCCCGAGGCGCCTAATATCGCTGAATTGATCGCGGAACGTGGGCATTAAAATGGTAAAGAATTGTTCACGGGCGCCTGACAATGTGAGGCGCTGAATCCGTCCTGCGTGGTCGAAGATGGTTTTCAGGAGGCGGAAGGAAACGTCGCCTTCGAGTTGGGATGATTCGAGAAATTCCAGACAGGAGTCGAAATGAAAATTCCAATGAAAGTCGAGAGAGACGGAAAGAGGGAGTGATTTGGAACGTTCAAAGTGCATTTGAAGACGCTCAAGGATCGTAGGAGGATATTGAAGCTGTGAGAGATCAAGAATGATTTTTGACCACAGTGCTGGTGTATTCAACGAGAGGGTTCTCCAATAGCGGCATACGCTGCCCACTAGGGAACCGTTGAGTTTTAATTGATCTCCATATGGTTTCCTGCGAAAGCGTTCCTCGAAGCGGGTCTTGTAAGGTTTGACGTTGGTGAGGATGAAGATTGTTGAGAGGATTTCTGGAGGTAAAGACTGGATGCGGGACTGAGGATGTGCAGGGGTCATGATGGTCGAAGAAAAACACGCAGTCGCAGCTGCGAGCTGCGACCCTCGGTCCCGGCATCAATGATGATGACATCATTTCTCCGGCCCCCATAGGGGCTTTTAAAAATCCTTCGTTAGCCATTTGTGAGCTTCTGACAGTGTGGTACGTGGTCAGATGGCTGGAATAACTCGAAGATAAAGGCTTTGACGGATAGATTTCAACATTCCCCATTATTGTATTGCAGTGCTAGTCTCATTGCTGCACCTCTTGATGATATCAATCGGCACGCAGTAGAGAATCAAAAACTAGGCTTTACTGAGCGATAGCAACAGGGTCATGAAGGATAATGTAAAGAAAAATTACGACGACCTATCACGTAGTCAAAAACTGCCCTGTCTGTTCTTGCACCCAATATCTATAAAACTCCAATGTCGCGTCATGTTTGCATAAAATCCTCACCGCCTTCCCTTCCTGCTGCCTATCTCTTACCCAATTTCTCACATCCTCCGGTACACAACCCCGCCTAATCTCTAGGTACGCCGACCCAAGCGAGCACTTCATCGTCCACCTGCATAAAAGCATCTCCCGCCAAGCATCCCAATCAAACCCCTTTGAGTACCAATCCAGTCGCAGTTCTTTCAACTTTGGTACCGGCCACCCAACACCCAACACCTCCATGAACCAGGTGTTCAAAGACTTTGTCATTGCCACACTGAGAAGAACAAGCTCCCTCATCTCCTTGAGGATACCGAACACATCCTCGTCGTCAAATTCCGTATATCCCAAATAAAAACTTCGAATTCCAGGGGAGCGTTTGACAAAAGCAGTCAAAGCCTGCCGAAAATACATCATGTTTGGTTTCATGATGACGGAGCGGAAATCCACGGGCATCCCAAATGTCAGGGATGTCAACGCTGGACAGTTGAGCAGGTTGATGAAATTGGTGTAATCATTGTGAGAGTAATGCTGGACTCTCATGTCGAGATCCAGGTTTCGGAGGTGAAGGAGTGGAGGTATGAAGACTTTGCCCACGTCGACGGTTTGATGTAAAACGAATTTGGCGCTTTGAAGCGATGTGGATGTGGATAGTATGTCGATAACGAGCCGTAAAGTGGCGTCGTCAATGACGATGTTGGTAAGATTGGAATAGGAAAGGTGATGTTTTTCTGGATCGAATGTGACGATAGCATGGTATAGCTCGATGCTCCGTATTGGAGATGCAGAAAACGCATGTAGGATGTAGTATGGATCGTCGTCGATGTGATTGAGACTGAGCAAACGATCTCTGTAATAGCTCCCTAGACACGTCTAGGTATGGTAGCTGAGAGCCTTAGTTCACCCGCGACCTGGACACAACGAGGTTTTATAACGACGTAGGTACAAGTACTGGGGTAAAATAAGACTATAGAAGGTAAAGAAATGGGCTTGTTTATATAGTGATAGTCCGGGTAAACGGGTAATGGGGGACCGGAGATTGTAAGGGATGCATAGATGGTGAGAAGTAGGCGTAGGCGTTACAATCTCGCAATGTAGACATTAACCGGAGCGAAAGTTGAGTGATAACAATGCGGAGAGAGAGGTTGAAAATGCGTTCGGCATGAGCGAGTATGGATTTTATGAAGTGAAAAGTGACCGGAACTTTGGGATCGAAGACATTTAATTCATGGATAAACTCGATGAGTCGGTTGAAATCCAGTTTTGGATCAGCGAAATCCAGGGAGATAGAGAGAGGATGGGACTTTGAGCGCGAGAGGTGCGTTTCGAGGGCTTCGAGAGTTGCAGGGTGATATGCAGAGGATGATATTTCTAGGTGGATCGAAGCCCAGAGCGCGGGTTTGATCAATGACACGGCTCTCCAATAGCGGCATACGCGACTAAGACGAAGCCCTGTAGATCTGGAATCCGAACCGTAACCATTACTATTGGTCTGGTAAATCTGAACCTGCGTGGGCAGATAAAGGAAATGCCGCACATCAGTGGAGAGCCAGATTCGAGAGAGAATTTCTGGTGGAAATGAATTGATGGTGGGGAATTTTGCGCACATCAAAAGTCTATTCACATAACAAGTCGGTTTAGTGGATGACGAGGACTATGAAGAGCATGTACCTTAGCGATGCGGTGATGGTTTCAGTTCAGAAGCCTTCTGTCACGTCGTCTCTTTTTGCGTGACGTGCTTAGACGCGCGCTTATTCATTTGAATAGAATAGGGGCAAACAGGTTCATGCGGTCTATGAATTAGTTCCGCAGGCGTATGGAACGGGGAAAATAAACAGAGCATCCTTCAGTGTCAAAAGCACTTCGTATAGCACGTACGAACGGTTCCAATCTCAACATCACCTACCGCAATTTCGGTGCCATCTTCCCGACACCAAACTCCGTAGCTATTGATCGGGTATAGCAATGGTGTAGGGTAACATGTAGATTCCAAGTCAGCAATACCCAACAAAACGAATTTCGGCCGTCCTATTGACGATAAACCGCAGATCTGCGCCTTGTAAAAGCGTCTGATGAACCCGGAATCTTTGCCAGGCCATCGCCGAGAAATAATTTGAAAGCTTATCTGAAAGTCTTCGATTTATTTGGACCAACAATTGATACTGAATATGAGGTGTTGTCGTGTGAAGATGGTCAAACTGTGAAGTGCATGTGTACCTGGATTATAGGATATTGTTCTTGAAGTTTTGGTATTGACAAGACTGGGTATTGTGCCGGGGATCATTCGTGGTACTTACACGAGCTCAGCATGGAAGCATTTGGGAACACCACTTCGATATTGCGGATCAAGGCACTTGATGAGGACTAAAGTAGCAAATATCAGGCATAGAACCGCTGTACATCATCGGTACTGATCTTATGATATCCAGGTAAGTGTTTAAATCAACACATCCCTGGTAGTATATCGGTTAGTACACGCGCCTGTCATATATGATGCTGGTTTGTGAGATATCGCGCGAAAGCTGGGTTCGACTCCCAGCCAGGGAGGTATGTGGCCCAGTTATCACATTTTCATGACATAGCAAAATGTATGATTATTAAATCGTACTATCTATGTACCCGCTACTCTCTACGCCTCTACCAACACCCATACGAATCTTTCTTCTCTCCGCTTCCCTCGCAGCTTTGATGTTACCCCCAAACGAATACCCCTCAAATCCACTGCCCTACTCAGCCACGGAACACGAATAGAGAAGCATGCTGGGGTACGAAGGAAGCCTATCCAATGAAACGGATGCTGGTGGTGGGGAGACACGGCAAGTCTTCCAAGCGAGGAGGATCGGCAGGGATACGCTCTTGTCAACAAAGAGAAATCAACTCCTCGTCTCCATGTCTCCGGGTGAGTAGTGATTACACCCTAGTGCGACTAAGGGAACGGAATGGGTGAATGTATCGACCTCGGTATGCGAGTATTAACGAGAGTGATCGTTTGAACCCGGAGTGCATGTGGGGGGAGGGGTATATCACGAGCGGGTTGGATAATGAGAAAGGGAGAGGAAGGAAGGAGGCGGCGGCAACGGCAACGCTCTACACCGCCGAGGAAGCATATTGAGCAGGGAAGAGAGTTACGGGAACGGGAGAGCTTGTGGATGTGTGGTAGCCGCATGGGCCGTGGCAGTCGAGACGGATGACTCTAAAGGAAGGCTAGGTGGAGGAGGAGGAAGCGAAGGAAAGAGGATCGAGGTGGTGTAGAAAGGCGGGTATTGCTGCCTGTTTCATGCCCGGGTTTGGCTTGAGAAAATGTACCGTTATCGCTACCTAGTAATCTGCAATCTGTTTAGGACGTGTTTGAGGAAACAGTGAAGCGGAGGACGTACCAGGGTGTTCTAGTGACTTGCCCAAATAGAACCCCTTCTCCAGATCCCGACCGAGGTAAAGATGGTGATATAAGCAGTTGACAGGCGGATGAAAGAGCGAATAGAGATCTGGGAGAGGAAGATACTTCACTTCCCAGCTTCTATTTGGGAGAATCTAAACGCGGATGCAGTATAGATGTAGCAGGATGACGTGTATAATGAGCGGAGACGCACGATCGTCGGATACACGAGGAGCAGCTTCAAGGCAAGCCTGATGGAAAGAGCGAGAACAGATCGTGATAGTGGATGGTACCAGGCGAAGATCTGTATCGGCGTGGGGGAAAGAAAGAGCTAAGGACATATGGTAGCCGTCTGAATCTTTCGCCGCGTTTCGTTCGTGCTTGGGAAAGGTGGAAGAGTGGCGGTAGATAGCGGAGAGGAGGACGGGACGCAGAGGAGCGTGCTTGGCCAGCGAAGATAACCTGTTATCACCACGAGGCTATCTGACTGTTATTCAGAAGGTAGTTCGAGGGAGAGTGAGCAGCGAGCGTACCATTGACGGGATACCAGCGATTATGACGCTACTTCCACGGCCAGTATTCCTCGTCCAGACCATGGCCGAGTGAAGGACGGCGCCGCTTGTCGAGAAGGCACCCCATAGAAGGAGGGAGTAGAGAGATCTAGTCGCCGAAGGTATCGCTACGACACTGGGTTAGGCAAAGCCCAAATGCGAAGCTGGATGGTAACGGAGGAAGGTCTAAGCTGGGCGGATGTTGCTGTAGGAAGAGAACTCTGTACAATTGGCGGACGACTGCACCAATCTTCGGGTGTACGATAGATGGGCTTCCAGGTGGTTTTCCGCGGGAAAAGGAGCAGTTTAGGAAGATGTACTTGGTATCGACCGTAGAAAGTGGTACGTCGTGGTTTGCGTCTTTTTACTCGCAGTGGTAACCTGGGATAGGAAGGCAGTGGAAGAATTAGAGTGCATCTTCTGGTGTTGGTACCGAAATCGTGTATCCGTTGAGATGTTCATGATTTCGGACATCTGATGGCTCATTAGCGTCAGCAAGAGAAGAAACGTCCAAAACATACCGAGAAAATGTCCTCGGTGCTCAAACTGCTTTCTCTCCTCCCTTTATACATTGATATCCTTCGAAAACATCTGTTCTTGGAGCGGTGTGTGCCCTAATGTGTCCCCCTGAAGTTGTGAAATATCGTGGTCTTGGGGTCGTTATTCATACCTATTGGGCTTATTGTTTAGGAAACTCGTGAAGGACATACTGTGAAGAAGACGTACCAGTATTCTCGTATGTCTGCATGATCGTTTCAACATCGAGCAGCACCTATACTGGTCATCAGATAAATACCAAGACTGCAGACAAAAGACGTACTATTCGCAACGACCATCACAACTTCCTAGCCCAATCTATCCACTCGTTAAGAATATACCCAGAGATTCCAGCTTCGAGCTTCATTGTCGTCGGTGAAGAACAGTAGGCGCAAGCGAGAACATCGTGGTCGGGGAAAGAATGTAAATTTACCACGTGGCATTCAAAGCCACCATCACCTGATGTCTATTAGACGCCCGCCTCTTGATCCGTACCACGATCACCACACTTTTGTCCTCAAGCTCCAATCGTCCAGCCATGCTAGTTGGCGTATTCCCAAGGATATTGTCTGTGTTAGAGCCTCTCTGACGTTCCGTATCTTGAATGAAATCTACAGTTTCAACTGAAGTCTATCATCCAGAATGTTGAACCTTGACTGCGGCTAACAGCCCAGAGAACAATTTTTCCTAGTCGGGACTAGTTTTTCTCTCGTTGCCTCAAGAAGCCCGAGTCTCCGTTGTAACTCCGACCATTGAAAATGAGATTCTTCTCGTGCACCGCTCATTAGGAACCTAGTACTTGAGCATGCCAGGTAAAGACGCACCGGAGGATTGGGTATGTGGCCTCACAGTATACACGCAAAACCATCGTCTCACTATATCACATTCAAGTATACTGCCAAATGCGAGCTGTATTCGTGGTTCTCTAGCGTTTTTGATGCAGATGCGTGCAAACCACACCGCGTTCTTCTATTCCTGGATGAATAGCTTCTCTTTTAGTACGTTAGCAATCATTCGTTCTAACCGGTTTACAGAACACTCCGGCTACAGCAAGGTTGACACACACGCATGTAACACGTGCACGCAGGGAGAATTGATTCTGCTGATGTTCACGGAGCGCTCATCAGACCTCACAATGTCCGACACGGGCCTACAACGGCAATTGATGATGGGCAGACTCTAAACTGACACGATGGAGATGGGTAATGAATGGCATTTATCATTTGGGGTTCCTGCGTGTTTTCAACGCATGCTCAAATCAGAATCTGAACTTCTGATAGAATTACCGTAGACACTGAACGTTGAACCCTCGTGATGATGGCGCGTCAAACATAGACGCCCGAACACCTCTAATCGTTCAATCGCTTTAATTCATTCCCTCAACACCCACCCGTTGTTGCCCTCTCACCTCGATCCACTTCACATCCTCGCAGAATTCCACAATGTTCAATAACAACGGAGACTTCAATATCCATGGCGGCGCTTTCAACTACGTTCAAGGAGGTCAACACAACCATATCGCCGGCGATATGAACTCCTATCGCACAGAAAATCACGGAAACTACAATGTCACTAACAACGGGGCCTACTACACTGACGGGCCAAGAAGAGGTGTGTCCTTCACGGAGATTGTGCAGATGCGATGCTGACGGATACGGAACAATCTAGCGCAGAGACGACCTCCTCCAGCTCGCCGATTTGAATTTCAGGACGAAGATGAGGAAGAATATTACAACAGCAGGGACCTCACATCGAACTTCAGTTCTCCGCTTCGGCCACCTCGTTCTATGGGGTATGTCGCTCCGGTATCTGAAGTCGACAAGAAAGCGCATGAGGACAATGAAGAATATAGCGGAGAAAGTAACGTAGGGGCTGAAGCGAGTAGGCATGGACCCTTTTCGACGGGAGGAGCTCAGGATCGGCTAGATGAGAAAAGAATCAAGCTTCTGGATAATATTCCGGAACCGATGAATTTTTTGAGCGCCCACGAAGGGGCCCCCGAAGTGTCCCAAACTCAATCGCGAGGTCCGTTTCGCAGTTTTAGTACGCTGTAACTTGACTGAGACCAACTCTGCTCCAGGGCTGCAAAGTTGGATCTTATCAGGCAACACAATGGTAGTAAATGCGATGATGGCACAACGTTATCTCACTATTATCCCTGTGGATGCTGCTCAAGGATCCCCTGAAGCTTCAATGACGGCACAAACTCTCCTCTCCGAATCACCTTTACTCACCAATACTTACAGTACTTCCAATCACGGAGACGGAAGTACAAGTAATAATGGCTCTATCCTCGCTTATGGCGAAAGTGTGACTCAAAATTTCCAAACCTGTGAGTGACTCGTTCAGTTATAGCTTGATGTTACTTGTAAACCTTTCCAAATAGTATCTCTTTCATTTCCAAATCAACCAAGTTCTACTGCTCGGTACATACCACCTGATTGCAGTTCCAGAGGACAACACTACACCAGATTGATGCTCACTGCTGGAGAGGGATATCCTTTTTGGTGTCCACAGCCAGGCAAAAGGAAACCGCCGTTACCAGAAGCATACAGGCGAACCGGAATCAGAATCGGGGATATTGGAATCATCCATACCAACAAACCATTTGATTTTCTCTTCAACATCACCGTTCCAAAGGGCGATCCAACTGACCCCATCAATGAACGAGTCCCTAAGGATTTCACGCCAGTCTCCATGACAGATCCGGAGTTCGAAAAGGATGAACGCCCAGAGAATGATTACATTGGGGGTCCGACGCATAGCTGGGAACCCACTGTCTTAGTGAACGAGTAAGTCCAGCTCTCCTTTGACCGTAGTGCATATTTTAAAGTCCCAAAGTAATTATAGAGGCTACAACTTTTCCAGTACCCTGGACGAAGCCGCGTTACTCATACTTCCTGAGGGCAGTTCAAGAGAGGAGCTGACATCAATAGATATATTCCGCAGATTTGCAGTTACACATGGGAAACGGTGGATTGACCATGCTAGGGATGATCGACATCGAGATGTCTGTGGATTGTATCTGATCACCGCACGAGAACAGTGCTCAGCATGGGGAATGGCTTCTCAGCTTCGTAGAC